AATTAACATAGAAAAAACACTTTTTATTCGTACTAATTAGATTATAATATTAAAACTTAAAACAATATATATATGACAAAAAATAATTTTTGACCAACAAGAATAAAGCATTGAATTATGTTAATTAATAAAATAATAAAGTGTAAAAATACGCCTTTCAACAAAAAAAAAATTTTATTTTGCTACATACAAGTTTCATAAATTTTTGTACTTTCGGTAAAGTTAAGTAAACTTCAGAGTGTTTTAATATATTATTTTCCGATTTATTTGTAGAAAAATTTTTTTTATGGTTTTGGCAAAAGAAAAAAAATTGCCATGTACGCCATTGAGTAAAATTGCACTTTGGCTTTTAAGAAATTTATGTAACTCTAAATGAATAATGTACAGTGAAGTGCGACATCAGTTTTATAAAAGTAGTTTAAGGCTCTTCAGATAATTTAACCAAAACGCTAAAAGGCATTGCACTAGCCTATAGCGTTTTTATAAAAAACAACAACAACAATTACTGTGCGGGTCACAATAGAACTTAAGGCACGGTAAATATGCAATTAACTGTTGTGCGATCTCACAAAACGCTCGCGAGTTACTAGAAGCTATTGGGAGAAACAGTGTAATTATTTTCGGATAAATATTTTCTTTAGTTGTTACATGAATTTTCATTGTTTTAGAGTGAGTGAAGGTTTGTCAATTAGTAGCAAATTACAAAGGTCCTTAGACTCACGCGAATAACTAACGAAATTAAAATTTCAAATAACACGAAAACTTTTTGTTCTAATAACTTCTTAATAAAAATGTTTGACAATTCAAGCGAAAATAATTCAAATTTTTTCATAACGGAATCTCGACAGTAGCTGTCAATTTGTGTTGATAAATCCTCGCTGTTTTAGCTTTTACTAAAGTGCTTTGCGTAGCGCGGTACAACACCAACAAAAGATTTAAGTTTAATAAATACCACAACCAGCACATTTCAATCCACAACATGCCGAATTACGCGGAGGCATTTGTAAAGTAAAAGTACCGTTACAAAGTCAAAATATGCAATTCAAACTTTTGGCATACGCAACGGCATATCTAGCGGCTGTTGCGGCTAAATTAAAAAGTTAAGCAAACAAATCCACTGACAAGATGAGCAAACGCCGCGCACTTGTTGTGGTTAGTTACGGTGTGGATTGCGAGCAGCCACAGCAAAATAACGGCGGTTTTCACCACAAACAGAAAATGTAGTTTGCAAGAAAAAATAAAAAGAAACGTCATAAAATTAGCAACAAAGAACGTGTACGATTTTAAGATACTGGATACATACAAATTACTAGACATACACTTGTATATACTTGTACATACATACATATACATACATGTGCAATTTGTATATTTACGCACAACATTAAATTCTTGCCTTGGTTACGCTCGCAAAACTGCACAAACTGCAAATCTTCAAGGCTGTGGCAAGGTATTGTCTCGCCAACTTTAACTGGTAAGGCGGAAAGTATGTTTTTGGCTTTTTGTGTAAGTTTAATGAAACCATGCAAACAACTTACCAAGCAGCCGCACGAAGTAAGTTACCGGCGCTAACACAAACCCCGCGCAAACAGAGAATTGCTCAAGGAAATTAACTTGCGAATATATTTAGTGTTCAAAGCCATGTGTTTTTTTTTTCTTTTTTGTTTTACACTTTTGTCATTTTTGCCTTGTTTTTGTTTTTATAATTGTTGTTGCCATTTGTATGGCGGTCATTATTTATGCGCTTCTTGCGGAAATACAATTGTTCAGCTGGCACTATCATTGCATTTTGCATATCTAATGCGCATGCCCAGACACAATAATGCGGTGTATAAGGTGATTCCTAATGCAATGTTCCTTATGAGTTGTAAAAACGAGAGAGATATGCCATTTTTCATTTGCATATAGGAAGAGCTTGGTCCCAACGTTGATAAAAGCGCTAATGAGGAATAAATATCTAAAAAATTTCATCGCATATTATTAGTCATCATTGCTTTTACCAAGCGTTGCTATTATGTTTTCAAATATGCAAATTATAGTAGTGAGAACTTAACCCGTATTAAACAATGGCTGTATTACGATAACAAGAACACCCATACATCTATTTTAGTTGAGTAAACTTTTACTTTATATTTATACTCTTGCAAAATGCTGCTACAGTGTTTAATAGTTTTGTTCAGCTAACGGTTGTACGTACCAGAATCGGGATAGCTATAGAGATTTTTATAAATTTCAATCCCACAAAACCTGTTGGAAATATATGGACGCCGGTACCTACAGTTAACTGTTTACCGAAGGTGTTGCTCAATGTGTCAGATTTGTAATAGAAATGCCCAGAGAATCCTTTCCTGATAGTAGTATGAAGGTGTGCTACAAATGGGTTGAATTGGGTCAGTAAAATTAACAAATTACCGTTTTACCGAGTAACGAAGTACCAGACTGGCAAGCATGATAGTTTTTTCGTTACTTGGTGAAAAACTCGGCTGTTTGGTTTGCGTTGTTGCCTCCAAAGTTAACTTAAATTCACTGCAAAAAGTCCTTGACAAATTTTTCAAAAGAAAGTATTTATTAAAATTTAGTTAGCCGGTTTGGAACAAAATTTACACCCACTATTGAGGTAAAGCAAAAAGAATGTTCAAAGTTAAGTGTCTTATCGAATATCCCTATAAAAATTTTCAAACTTCCAAGTGACGAAAACTTTATATAACTTATATCAAAACCCGGCTGACTTTACTCCATAGGATTGTGGCTTATCGATAGTGAAGTCGATACTTAATATAAAATTTAACCTGTAGGAATTTGGAAGTTGCAAGAGTAAAAGTGTTCGGTTACAACCGAATCTAGCCCTTCATTATTTGTTTTTATCTCTTTAGTTTGAGAAGAAACCATGAATAAGTAAACCTTATCTCCATCAGGGCATATCCTGTCTTGCCTCTAAATCACTCTGTATAGATACTTCATAAAATCGAGACATATCATCAGTAGCATAGATTTGAAAATATATCTCTAAAAATAGTTTTTTCAAAATTCAAATTGTTTCAAAATTTTAGCCGTTTCAGTGCTGTGGCAATTCGCCCGGTTTAGTTCCTTTTTTATGCTCTAAATAGGGTATATAAACTTTCGCAGATCCTATAACAGACTTGGGTGCCCCAAATAACTGATTTATAACTGTTTCTTAGACACCTTTAAGAGATTCTCTCCAAGTATGAACTCTTAATTGTAACAAGAAGTTCCTTCACCTTACAGTTTTATATTTTTTGCTTACTACCCGATAGCAAAATTCTCAACTCGCGTGCGCCTAGTTCTTTATTGGCGTAAACATCGCTCATGCGATTACTACTAGAAAAAAATCTAGTCTCATTTATTTTGTAAAAAAATTCAATGTTCTAAAAAAAAAAAAAAAAACAAAATAAAAAGCACACATCTCAACCGATTTTATGGCAAATTTTCTTTTCTTGTGAATATTATAATTCAAAACAAAAATGTTCTAAATTCTTTCGATAAAGAGCATATAATATAATTACGAGATATTCGTCGCCAAACACTAATGTCTATGATAAGAAAAAATAAAGGATTTGCTAGCATAAATTTTTAAAATATATAAAATTTACAAATAACTTTGAGGTTTCTGGTAAAGAAAGTATAATACCTACATGAAGTTTTGCTTTTTTTCCATCAAAGTACTTGTTTTCGTTCTATAAAAAATAAGTTATTATTGACAATCTTCACAGCACAATACTTCATGGTAAGATAATTGTTTTTATAAGAAAATTCTGTAAAAATACATGAGAAGCTACGTATTCATTATATTAAGGGCTATCTATTGAAACCCTTTATCTAAAGCAATAATTACAAAAAATATAATTTTAATTATTTTCTAATCAAAATTTATGTTTGGAACAAAAATTTAAGTTCATATCATTTTAATATAAGGATTATTATACATTCATTGAACATAACGAAACTGTATACTAAACAAATATATTTTTGTGCTACAAGGCGTATACGTAATGTTAAAACAAAATGTTACCTATACGCCTACTTTAGACAAAACTAAAAAGTTTACAACAATTGTGCGACATGGCTACTCACAAACACCGCCATTAAAGCAAAATGAAATAGTATGCACAATCAGCAAGGACTTTTACCATAATATTTTATTATATTTTTTATGCCTGCAGATTTCTAATATAATAATATATATTTGTTTTGTTCGTTGGCATCTAATAATTTTATCTCATCAAATTTCCTTACAGTGGCAGCTGAAAACTAAAATAAAACAAACATAAATAAAACTTTTTGTACTTGCACACCTGCGCGCGGCTACTTCCGTTTTGCGACAAACACGCCCTTCAAATACAGAGATAAATTGTATAAACATATATATACACACACAGTGATGACCTGGTTTAGTGGCGTAACTGCGTCGTATGACAGCAACTTCCGGTGTAAACGGATGTTACACGGCTATTTGTTTTTGGCATGTGCTTTTTTGCTGATTGCGGTGCCGGTGCCGGTGAACGCACGTCCCAAGGAGACGACAAGCGATGTTATCATACCGTTGGACGACGCTGGGCTGGCATTGAGCGAGGAATATGGCGATGTGGATAATATTGAGGTGGGTGGCTATTAAAACAGATATGTGCATGTTGTATTTAAATATATATATAGGCGTCATAAATGACATAAATAAGCGCAATTTTATTTAAATCAACTTTTCTTATTTGTGACTTCAGTTCCACCAAGCCAAAATCGTCGATGGCGTGCTGCAGGAAGATCACCCAGTTATAATGTATAAAGAAGATTTCGTGAGCGAAGATTTTGGTAAATTATGCTCGCTTATTAGCACACATACATATAAATAATAATATTTTACTCCACTTTCCCTACCCAAACAGTTCCCAAAAAGAATAACACACATCGCTTGCGTAAACACAAAGATCCAGCACATCGTCGCCGTCGCATCAACGATCAATCCAACTCGGAGCAGTATCATCCATTGCAGCCCGAGAAAATCTATTTCGATATATTATCCTCAGCACCGATTGTTACTTCCGATGAGTCAAAGTCTGTCAATTCGAAAGCGCATGTAGAGGTAATTTCTCTAGCCGATGCTGACGCGAAGCTGGTGGATGGTGAAGATGAAGCGAAGCGCCTGCTCAATAAGCGTCCCAAAAAATTCCAGCACCATCGTCAACGTCGCGATACAGACAGAATCTGGCATCGCGAACATCTGGTGCAGAAACGTCACCAAAATCCTTATTATCGCTTCAAAGGCGCAAATTCAATCAGTTCACACCCAATAGTACCCAACTACTACTTACCTAGCTATGAGCCGGTGAAGCGCTATCAAAAGTAATTATTTTTGAATTTAACGAAAAAAATTCCGATAAAATTTTTATTTTCTGCGCAGACAACCTGTTGCCGGCGACTTCTATAACGGCCCTGTTAGCACGCTGCCCAAAATTACGGTCAATACGCGTTTCGGCGGCGAAGACAACACGGATCGTGTGATTTGGCGCGACTATACGCCAACCAGAAATCGTAAGTACTAAATGCCACATACAATTACAACAACATTCTAATGACTGTTAATAAAACACTTGCAGCCAATAAACGCTTGAATATCACTGTGGGCACACCCCGGCCACTGTTTTCGCGTCGCACGGAATCACCTCTTTCAGCTGTACGTAAGTATCCAATTAAAGAAATCGAAACTTTTGCTTACGTTAATCATTTCCGCTTCCGTACATTGAAAAATATCTAGCCCCAAGAGACGAGACAGGAGCAGCAAGTAATTCAGGGCCTGTTCGTCGTCCCGTCGTAACGGAATCGCCCATCTTTCAATTGCCCACAGCCCCGTCCACACGCCCGCCACCACCGACACCGTCAACAGCATCCCCCTCAACCGCCTGTGTGTGGGCTATAGCCAGCTGTTGCGCGCCCAACGACTCCGAAGTGCGGTACGGCTGCTTCCAACGCTATGGTTGTAATTTGGTCTTTTGGAATTTGAATCCCTGTGCCGACAATATACGCGACAATGTTATCGACTATCTGAGCAAACAGTTCGATTAGAGCGCAGCATGTCCGATGTAATGCAGTTACTAGTATTTAAAATTGTCACAAAGCATTTATTAACCATAGCTTAGTTCGTAAGTTTAAGTTATTGCGTGCTGTTTTTCTTTTGTTTTTAAATTTAACTGCATCATTTTTAATGATGCTGTATTTTTTTATAAAAAAATGTATTTAATTTAAAATTGCTAACGATCTTGTGCATTGATTTAAGCAACTATACTTACAGAGATTGTGTAGTTGCTTGATTATAATCTTTTAAAATAAGAAGCATTGAACATAAAAATATATTTTTATATGTGTGTGCCTCAAAGAAAACTAAGAAATTTTATTTGAAAAATGGTATTTTATATATTTATTATTGGACTATTGTAGAAGCCTCGACAAAATGGTAAGAAGTGAAAGAAAAATTTATAAGAAATTTTAATAGACCAACCGCTATCAACGAGGAAGAGTAGGTCCTCTTTCCGAGCTCAGAACGCCGGTAAATTATTTTCCGCTTCATTCAATGGGTTTCACCATACTATGATTTTAATTAATTTTTTTTTTTTTCAAAATTTACCAACCTAATGCCGCTTGGTACACTAATTTCTTGGCTCCATAAGAAGGTTAAGTTCGAAGATGGGCAAAATCGGCCCACTGCCACGCCCACAAAATGGCGGAAACCGAAAACCTATAAAATGTCATAACTAAGCCGTAAATAAAGATATTAAAATGAAATTTGGCACAAAGRATCGCAYTAGRGAGGGGCATATTTGGACGTAMTTTTTTTGGAAAAGTGGGCGTGGCCCCGGCCCCTACTAACTTTTTGTACATATCTCGAAAACTACTATAGCTTTGTCAACCAAACCATAGAGTCGTTTCTTTTAGGCATTTCCATATACAGTTCAAAAATGGAAGAAGTCGGACAATAACCACGCCCACTTCCCATACAAAGGTTATGTTGAAAATCACTAAAAGTGCGTTAACCGACTAACATAAAACGTCAGAAACACTAAATTTTACGAAAGAAATGTCAGAAGGAAGCTGCATCCAGGTTTTTTTTTTTTTAATTGAAAATGGGCGTGGCATCGCCCACTTATGGCCCAAAAACCATATCTCAGGAATTACTTAACCGATTTCGATGAAATTCGGTATATAATATTTTCTTAACACCGTGATGACAYGTACCAAATATGGGTGAAATCGGTTCACAACCACGCTTGAAATCTCGATTATCACTTTATCATGCGAGAGTATAAAATGTTCGGTGACACCCGAACTTAGCCCTTCCTTACTTGTTGGTATTAACTTACTTACAAAAAAAAAAAAAAGTGATTTTCTTGTTTTGATAAAGCATTGTTTCCTGATAGGGAAAATCAAATTAAAGCAAAGACATGACTTGATAAGTATTACATATCTACTTATTTAGTAATCGAAACATAGATAATTTCGTCAATCTTGGATCCACCTTTAACACCAAGCACAACGTCAGCCTAGAAATCCAACGCTATATCTCTTGCCAACAGGTGCTACTTCGGGCTATGTAGAAAATTGAAAAGTAAAGTCCTCTTTCTACGCCAATCAAGAAGAAGAAAGTCCTCTTTCGACGAACAAAAACAAAACTCTACATGTGGCTCAACATCCCCGTCCTGATATATGATGCAAAGGCATGGACGATGACAACATCTGATGGTTCGACGTCACGAGTTTTCGAGAGAAAGATTCTGAGTAGGATTTATGGTCCATTGCGCTTTCGCAACAACAAATACCGCAAATGAATCTGAAAGTATTCGACGCAGTATGCGCTCAGGAGAAGCAGAGGAAGACATCTACTCCGTTGGTGGGTAGACGAGATGGAGAAGGAACTGGTTTCGCTTGGAATCTCCAGTTATCGTCGTCATAATCGTAATCTCAGTTCAAAAATTGGTAATCTGGTGGAAAATTTTGATTTGACAGTTAGAGTAAAAAATGTTCCCAGGCCGGTGAAATCGTAGTGTCGAAAATATTGCTGCTACCAGCACATCAATTGAGGAAAACTCAAATCAGTCTTTCACACGTCGTTCTCAAACGTTGGGCAACTCTGTGATGTCGTTGTGGCAAATTTTTGGAAAAGATCCTGGTCTACATCCTTATAAGATCAAACTGACTCAAGAACTGCAAACGTCCATCAGAATCGTCTTATGTTCGTTAATTGGGCTAAGCAATTACAAAAATGGTCCAGATTTTCATCGAGAAATAATCTTCAGCGATCCATAAGTCCCGTAAAAAATACACTTTGGTGTGGTTTATGGGATGGCGACGTCTGATCAAGACTGGCACATTACTGTGAATGGGAATTGCTCAATGATAACCAAATATTTTTGACCCGAATTCTATTTTATGACGGCTTCAAAAGCCACACAGCGAATGTTACAATCGATTTATTGAAGATCAAATTTGGTGAATGTGGTATCTGACGAAATGGCCCAGTCAATTGGCGACCTCGGTCGTGTGATCTGAAGCCGTTAAGCTATTTCCAGGGGGCTACGTCAAGTCTATGGTCTATACCAACAAATATCTAACGTTATATTTCAGCAAGATCGGCCTGTAAGCCATCGAAAGTTATATTCAGTTTTGGCCTTCTGTAATCGTGCCCTTGGTGGCCATACAAAATAACTCAAAATCCACACATAATGGCATCGAATGTACTTTCACAGATTTGATATCCCAAACCGTTTTTGCTTTATTTGTAGCGCTCTGATCGGTGTTATAATTAGTAGCGGAATTCGTTTGACAAACTCGTTTCTTACCATTATAGCCTCGATTGATCGAATTCAATTATGAATACACAACTTCTCTTCACAGTTGATGAAAGTCGGTTTATATGCATCATTCCTCATTCTGAATGCTTAGGTCATCTGGGCCGGTAAGATATTTATTTCAGTACAATTTGGATATTATGTTTTGTTTGATTTTATAAGGCACTACATAAGAGCAGTGTTTCAAATCATATTTACAACAAAAGTATTGTTCTGTTCTGGATTATCTTGTTGTTGTAACAGTTAATGGGATCTCTAACTACCCGGCATCTAATACGTGATTTATTTATTCAGGATTATCTCAAAACGCACATCAAAATCTGTATGCAATCCACAAACTCTTTGATTACACAAGATACACTGCCCTCACAAATATGGACACATTACAAAATATATAAACATATGTATACGTTTTGATAATTATGGGCAAGCATTGGATAACAGAATTATTATCGGTTAAACTTGAAATACACCGCTTTCCTGCAATAGAGCCAAGCCCTTCTGCGCTATTATACATACATACTAAATTGCAATGAGCTTATCGCTTGTCCACATTAAACTGCTTTTAACCAGCTCTTAATGCTAGTTTGGGGGCAGTTTATGCAACCGCGAATCGTTGCGCCGCCCATTCATTATGCTGCGGGCTCAGAACACTCATTACTTTAGTGTAGGCGCGTGTAGCTCTGACGGTGCCAATTAAGCATTGGTCGCGCTGTGTTGTTGCTGTAACAAATACCTTAGCGGATTTTTGGCTTACTATAACGCTCGAGGGTAGTTTGTTAATTAATTGTTAGTGGTTTTGTGGCTTTAAAATGTAGCAATTTTTTGAATATATAAACTGTCCCTACCATGTATGTAAGAATTATGAATCTGTGTCGCCGAATTGGTTCAATCTCAATTCATCAGTCATTGCTTAGGTATTTCAGTTGAGTATTTTACCACTGATTGAGTTTCACATTCTTTTATAAACCGTTTACTTCATATCATATAAAATAGGATTTTTATAGGTCAAATACTACTTAAATTGATCACTAAGTGTATAACCGTTGATTGTTATTGATGAATATTTGTAACCAAAGTTGAGCTAATACTCGCAGTGAAGATTTTATGCCGTTTTAGCCTTTACTTTGAAATTTCTTTAAATTTCAACAAAATAAAGAATACGGGATTCATTATAAGTCTTATAAAATAGAAAAATATGTATTTCCTTTCAAACTAATCTAAACATAATTACACTAATCCAATTTTTGATTACATAAGTTAAGAGTTAACCTACCTCAATGCGCTCTAAGCCTTCACATCGTTTTGATATATGTATGTATATTATGTTTGTAATTTTCTTAGATTTCCTTACCTCTTCTACATACCGCTAGAGCAGCATTCACTTTACTTGTTTCTTGACTCATCATGTAACACATGTCACTTACGTAACGCATTTGGCTATTTAGAAACGCTTTATGATAAGCAACCGATCTAAATATATTCTACTGAGTAATGTGACACATAATTTTCACATGCGTGAGTCACTGTGTACAAAGCCTTCTGTCGAAATCTTTGTTCGCATTTCTTGACTCAGCTAGGAAGCAGATATTAATGTACTTGTTGTTGTGGTGTGATAAAATTTTACTATTTTCTATGCAAATTACTTTATTTGTTTCTATTTTTGCTTGCTTTTTCTCGGTAATCTATAATTTAAGTGCCGTTATAAAGCAGGGTCAAAAAACGTCGAACTTGGAAATACACATACATACAGCTAACGAGATAGAGATACTCAGGAATAATCATGTTGGTGCATGTGCACCGCAATATGCGCATTCCGAATGAATGCGAACATTTTGGCATTACACTATTTTCCAATTTGCATAGCACCAAATAAAATATTTGCTTACAGCGAATTTTTCGAACTTACCGCTACCACCATCGTATGATTTTATGGTGGAACCGCTGGTGTTCGACCGCTTAATTTCGCGCCGGCCCATTTTGTTAGCTGGTGGCGTGGCTAAAACGATTTCTACACCCCCCTCGTTTAGGACTGACGGCGGGCTTAGTTGCTCTTCGGCTTCGCTGCTAAAATCGGTCTCGAATTCGGCACGCGTTTGCTTTGTGTAGTGTTGGCGCGACGGTTGTGCTATTTGATGTTGCGATGGTTGATGTGCGTTGACTTTGCTGGAATGGTGGTGTTGGTGGTGGTGTGAGTGTTGATGCAAATGCGGTTGGTAATAGTGTGAGTGATGTTGTGGTTGGTAGAAATGTTTGGGTGAATTAGTGGCGGATGTGAGTGCAGGGGTGCTTGTGGTGGATGCGGCTAAAGCGACGGCCGTTGTTGTCGCCAGCGATGGTGTTGAACCGGCTGCTAGTAGCGCGAGATTCGGTGGGAATTCAAAATATTTCACCTGCAATGGATTGCCCGGTGTACTGCCCTTTCTGCTGGCTGTCGGTGTGCCTAGCGCGTCTAAGGTATGTGTTGCAGTTGTTGTTGCTGTGGTTGTGCTGCCACCTTTCGCTTTGTGTTGGTTAGTGTGATTGTTGCATGTGCCTGCGCCTACTGTGCTGTGGCTATTGGTTGTTGTTGTTGTTAATGTGCTGTTTGTGTTGCTGTTGTAGTTATTGTTGGTTGTGGTGCTGTTGGTGCAATGGCTGCCGGCGCTGTGCGGTGTGGGTGGAGGGGGTGGACAAGCGTTGATGCTACCGCTGCTGCTGCTGGTAAATGATGGCTTGCGCAGTGATAACGGTCTCAACCCTTTAGCAGGGTAAAGCGGGTACTATCGGCCAGCAATACGAACCCAATCGCGATGGTCACTGTTATACCAGACACCTGTAATTCCGATTGAGAAAAAACAAAAACAAAACAAATACTATAATTAGAACATGCCATATGCTATTTCGTTGCTATTAATTAAGCTATAATTGGATTCGTTGTGATGGACGCGAAGAGTAGTGGGTCCATTTACGGTGCCTGGCGAAGTTTAATGCAAACCGGATTTTTATTTGCAATTTTATTTTTTTATTGTTGTTTTGGCAAACAAGTTACATCTTTTGGGATTTAGTTTGGTTGCGTAAAAAGAAAAAGATTCTAATCATTACAAATAGATTTAGAATACTTTATGTACTGATTAAAAGATTACAAATTTGTAATTCGTTTTTGTAAAGTTTTAAAAAAGAGTTTAGCAACTTTTTTATACTGATTACAAAATTGTAATGTAATGATTACTCATTTGTAGTCCTTTTTGTAAAGACTTAACAAGATTCGAACTCTTTTTGTAATGATTGAAAGAGTTTGGATTGACCATTGTAATCATTAACAAATGTACAAATGTCACTAGTAATGATTACAAATGAGTGAAGGATTTGTTTTTCCCAGTAAAATATAGAATAATTTTCAAGAATTAAAAATTATTAAAATCTGTTTGTGTGGTGAGTAGTGAAGTTTGAAATACGTTTCGTAATGATTACAAATGTTTGGCAACTTTTTTTTATAATGATTACCAAGGTTATGATGTAGTAATTACAGAGTTTATAATAATTTTTCGCATTGATTATAAGTAAATATTAAGAATTGATTTTAGTAATGAATATAGTAATAATTAGAGTTTTAGAGTGTTTACAATATTTTGCAGTCATTTTTTGTAATCATTGCAGTGTCCACAAAAAATATTTGAATAGTTAGCTGATATTTTTTGGTTATAATAATGAGTTCATTTTTACATACTTGCATAATAGTTTTGGACTTTAAGCGAAGTACAGAATAATTTTTCAGTAATGATTACAAAGTCTATTTTTTGATGATTATAGTTTAAGATCCACTTGTGTAATGAGTACTGAATTTTTTAATACGCTCCGGTAATTATTACAAAATTTAGAGTTCTTTCTTCTAATTATTACAAAAGTTAAGTGCGATTTTATTTTTTGTAATGATTACTATACTATGAATAGCTTTTAAATTCATTGCTATTTTTGTTTTAGTCATTCGTTGAGTTTTACAAATAATCCTTTTGTAATCCAACAGCTGCAGAAGAATTCATCTCAGGTAATGTTTTTGCAATGCAATAATATTATTTGTGACTTCTGATGTCACATGGTTAACGTTAATTGTTTAAATTTATAATTTATAGTGAAAATATCAATAAAAATATTTAAGCTTTAGCATTACTGCATTAGTACACCCTGTATTTACTGCTAGATAAGCACCAAGCTAGCTACTAGCATCCACTAATAATGAATACACTTACAGCTTATTGAAAATACATATGTATAATCGCACAGTTTTAGACACATCTGTATCAATAAATTTTATTAGCATAACTTTAGGCGCCTATCAAATATAATTAACTAACTTCGACATGGTCATATTTGCACCACACGAATCCATTAAAATATCGAAACATTATCCCGTCAGAATTTATTTCAATATAAATTAGCATCAACAAGTTCATTTATGGTTGGAGAAATTTATTTAGAATATTCAATGTTGCTTAGCAGCGATTTTGCGGCATGGCAGAGCGGAGTGTTATTAATTACGGTAAATAAATATGTTGATTTTATGCAGGAAAATTGCTGAAAATAAAACATGGATGAGTGGGCATATGCAGGTTGCTATGAGAATCATCTGAAATTAGCTTCGATGATAGGCTTTTGTAACATTTAAAATAATTGCAGATATTTTTTGATGAGGTAGTGATTTCACTATATGTAAAAAGAATATACTCTATTATTATTATTAGTTTTTAGTCTGTGGGAGTAGTTTGTAGAATAGTTTCGGAAAAACTTCTATAATTACACAGTACAACAGCTAATCTGGGGGGTGAGAAATTMCAAGTCAGGGTGATGGTASTAGGTCAGTATAGTAAAACCCTCAAAGGGTTTGGCGTTCGTATGTGTCAGTTTTTTTATGACCTTTTAAATTTTTTCCTTATTTCCCATGGTTTTCCATCTTAACAAATTAATTTTTTCCAATCAGGCGTACTAAATGGCCCAGATTTACGTAAGCTGATTAAAAGTGACGCCTTCAACAATATTTAGATTGACGCTGAATTGAATGTATGGCAGGCAATCAAAGAAGTAATAGAAGGCTTGTTGGGAAAGCATCGTTCCAACAACTACGATGTTTCTGTCGCAAGGATGTTATAATAATACAGATGTTATATATACGAACTAGTCCCTCAGCTTTTAATATATCGTTTTGAAATTTTGCAAACGTCATTTTTTCTTCAAGAAGCTGCTCATTTTTCGGAACTGCCGATATCGGACCACTGTAACATATAGCTGTCATATAAACTGAACGATCGGAATCAAGTTCTTGTATGTAAAACTTTCACATTTGACCATGTATCTTCACAAAAGTTGGTACAGGTTATTTTCTAAGACAACAATGTAATATCCGAAAAAATTGTTCAGATCGGTTAACTATAATTTAATTTAGATTTAATTTTAGGTTTCATCATATTTTTATTGCATTTTTTAAAGTTGAATTTAAATTTGAATTTGAATGAGAATTTTAATTTGAGTTTCGTTTTCGTTTTCGTTTTAATTTTAAATTTAATTGTAGTTTAATTTAATATTGACTTTAGTTTTAATTTTAATTATCTTTCTAAATTTAATTTTTGAATTAATTTTAATTTTTAAATTATATTTTTTGAATTTAAATTTTCTTTTATATTTTGTATTAATTTAATTTTTATTTCATTTTTAGTTTTAATTCTTAAATTAATTTTGTTTTAATTTTAGATTTCATTGAATTTGTATTGATTTTTTTTATTTGAATTTGAAATTTTTCATTAAGTTTAGTATTAACTTTAATTCTACTTTTAGATATCAGTGAACTTTGATTGATTTTTTTAATTTTAATTTGAATCTGAATTTGACTTTAATTTTAATTTTAATTTAGATTTAGTTTTTATTGAATTTATATTGATTTTTTCTTTGAACTTGAAATTTAAATTTAAATTTAATTTGTAATTAACTTAATTTAGTTTATTTTGATTTAATTATAATTTAATTATAATTTTAGATTTAATTGAATTTTTAATTTTACGTTTTTACTTTTTTAATAAATTTAACTTAAGTTAGTTTATTTTGTTCTAATTAAATTAAATTTATATTAATTTGCATTATTTGTTTATGTAATTAACACACATTTTTTTGTGTTTTTTTTTTTTGAGTGCCATATTTGCTCTCTCCTGTTTTTACGTCCTGAAATGGTTAGTTTGACAACTCATGGCAAATAAAAGCAACCCATTCACCCATCAACACACGAGTACATACAAACATATATATACACCGGCATTAGCTGCAGTCACTCAATCATTTAATCATTCATTTGTTCATCCGTTTCCTCAGCGTTTTCCACTGAACTGATGGCAAGTTGTACATAAAACTCATGATCTTTTTGCTACTCTCCACTCTCCGAGAGCGCAACGGCTTTTACGTTTCAATCGATTTCGAATTGAATTACCATCATATGACACCAGACCAACAGACAATATACACACACACACACTCAAACATACAAACAAGTCGAATGTACATGCAACGAACAGAGGCAGACATGAGCGTGGCTGTTATAAAGGACATTAACAATGAAAGCGACAGATGAAAGATTAATGTATTGCACCGCGAGCGAGGAGGGAGAAAAGTGATAAACAAAATCAAATAAATAAAAAAAAAGAAATACGCACCAACTAGTGAGACAAAAAAACAAAAAAAAAAAAAAGAAAAAAATTGGTTGCAAAGCGGACCGCGCCAGGATTTGCTGGCCGAATGAAAAATGCTGGAAGGAAACAATTTTTCACCAGCGCTGTCGATTTCGTTTTGCCTTATCGTTTTTCCGCATTTTTTCTTCATTTCCTTGGCTGCTGCCTTACGGAATTAATAAATTCATTTGCATTGTTTAACCGGAAGGGACAGCACGCACAGCACAAAATACAGAAAACGAACAGAAACAAAATGCTGAATAAGGCATCGCATTCGCCAAGCCACAGGCCGACCACCAGCCATGCGTGGCGGGTATTGGGTTCTTTATCAGCGCTCGGGCGATTGTCTAAGTGACCCAAGGAGAGCGGCTTGTTGCCAAGAAAACACATTCTCGTTCTGCTTACGTGACGTGTGTTGTTCGTGTGCATGTGTGTGTGTGTTTAATTGTGGCTTCAGTAGGCTATGGCAACGACTATTTATCTACATTCTTGTATACATGTGTGTATATGTGTAATGGTGATGTCTTTTTCCGGTTAGTTGGTCTTTGTGGCTCAGCAGGCAGCCAGCGTGCTAGTCCACAGAGTATTGCCTAGATTTCTGAGCTACAATTGCCTTGTACATTTGTTTGCGCATACGCAATGGACTAACTGCTCAACCGTATTTTATTGCTGTAGTATTGTTGCTGTATGCATGTGTGCACACTACTTTGTCGCGAATTTCACCCTTTTCCTTTTCCTACATTGTAGATTTACTCGACCAATGCTTTGCTTGATGATTAATATACGCACAAAATTATACACATATGCATACAAACCTGCATACATAGGCAATATTTGTATTTCTGCCAGCTCCAGTGCCCTACAACAAGTTCTACTTTCGTCTTCATCACCATAAGTACACACACACACATATATATATATACTTGCAAATAGTAATACCCAATCATTCTCAATCAAACTCAACACATTGTTGCTTTTTAAGCAAACAAATAAACACCACACACATGTATTGGTATTATTGTGGCATGCACACATACATATGTACATCGCCTACAATATCGAGCCCATTCAG